TATCAGGTCATAGGTCGTGAATAACCTATGACACTCACTACTTTGAGTTCCGCTCTCATTTCGCTGCTCTTCTACGGTCAAGCCTAATCCATTAAAAACTTCGGTATCATGATACTCCAGTCAAATTTTACTAACTGCAATTAAATGGACTAAAATGCAGGGACTCCAAAACTTTCATAGGTTCACAGGCATGTGCAACAGTCCGTAGTCGATTTACCAAACTTTCTGGAAATAAATAGACTTTATCACCATACTGCATTAGGATCGTAACATATCATACTGAAGAAACTAGATGCTGTCTAAATGACTGATAACTTTCTTTCTCGATGTATATGAAAATACGTTTTCATATACGTAACATTCCCTGATTCAGCATATTCTGTCTAACCCTTAATATGTAGCGTTGCGAAACTGAGGTAATTGTTTTAAACGAAAAACTAACACTAATATTTACTACTAAACTATTTGTAATAACGACAATCATATAATCATTTTAATACATGACGAATCGTTAAAGTTTCAATCCAAATTCGTTTAAAGGAGACTCAAATCAAGATCACTAATCTGAATGAAGCGCTAGTCTGCATTTTGACGATGTGTGACTGACCTTTACAAAATATTTCTTTGCCACTCTCTAGATTTACGGAGTACCAAAATTTTTCTCCTCGTCACAAAGAATATCTCCGTTCAACGACCAAGCTTGAACTTTAGAATATCCCCGAGCGATCCGAGAACAAACAGAAATAGGACTTAAAGTATGCCTGCTAAAACGACTGTTAATAATCATTCAATCTCAGGTTTAGTCGAACAGTATACGAGCAAAATATCAAAATATTTAACTATGTGCGTAGTACTTGACCATCAACAATTCCATCGAGGTGTGAACCAGATTAAATTACACGCTGCAGCGATTAGTTTAGTACGCTTAAGGATCAACTCAGTTTCCTTCACAATGTCGCCTCATGTACGCCACACTAAATGACTATCTTTATAGCAAAATGTTTACCGAAATGATGAACGGTTTACGAACTTCGACTAATTTCTACTTCGTTGGACGGATATGGAGACCAACTGACTTCGAACTTTAATATCTGCTTGATTTTCATTGGCGATATTTTTAGAGATTTCTATCTGCGCTGAAAGTAATATATAGTTCTACATAGAGGGCAGCAGCTCTGACTTCTGATGTAACAAGAACTTAAAGAAAGAAGTCAGCCAACTTGTAAGCAACTAGTGAACAGTCAAAAAGTCAATAGTACAGATAAATACAGGCAAGTACAGGTATATATTTAAACGGTTAGAAATCCGGAATAACATTTAAATGGAACTTTCGGAAAGTTCAACTTCATAAATATTTTCTATTTCCGCTTCACTATCTGTCATTATTAAGAGCCGCTTATATCTTTTCGAACTGAAATATGTAAATATGTGCTTTCGACGCGGACAAAAAACTTCGGTTATATTTTTGACTTCTGCCTGTATCTTTACTTCAGTGACTTTACACGTGTATTAACAAAATCCTTTTATGCCAAATGATGTTTATGATCCTTGTAGTAAGTAATGAAATAATCGATTTCCTACTTTTGGCATTCTTCTTATAGTCCACACCGTAGTAAGCAACAACAACTGGCATGCGGAAATGGTCAGAAGTGCTCTCTGTACGATGTCCACATAGACCGTGTCTAAAGCACGAATCGTTCAATCACTTGTCATCAGAAAATTCCAGTAAATCTCACTTTTCAAACTTGATAAACTTCTTGATCTTATCCGTATCGAAATTTCCATCGTATCTCACGTACGGCTTTTCAAATATGTTGTACATGCATTTTGGTTGGAAAGACACAATGTCACTAAATAAGTAATTTGTAGTGCATTTAAAGATTCAAGCGCTGGCGAGCACAACTTACTCAGTGAATTTGTACTTCTCCATTACCTTCCCGTCAGATGTGTACGCAAACCTGTAGTTCGTCCTTTCCGTATCAGCAACTTTGAGGAACGAATCTTTGAGCTTTGAATCTTCCTTGAAAAATCCTAAAATAACAAAATGAATAAATAGAAGAATAACTGTGACAAATTGTTATGGGTTGAACTGAAACGAATAATGATGCAACTGCAATGCCTTTAAACGATATTTAAGGCATCGCTTGCCACAACTCGATTAGGAAAAAGATAAATGAAATAGTTTCCAGTTTATATAAAAATCCTATGTTTATCAAGGTGAATATAATATGGCTGTACTAACCAACAATGCTATAGTCGTCAACGTTGATAAACTTTTCGAATTCTTCAGAAGACTTCAGCTCTTTCGAACTAGGACCGGACTGTGCCTTCATATACTTAACCATGTCATCTGAAAACAAAAGTTACCGAATAAAGATTGCACTAATTCATTCACATATACCTGCTTCGCGGCCCCCGTCGTAGTCACCACTGAAGACACCTTTCCTATATATTTTCAACGTCGGGTAGCCGTTAACGCCTACCTTTTGGCAAAAGTCCTTATGGGCATCACAGTCAACCTAAAATCATACGCCATCGAAGCTCGATAAACTACCAACCATTTCATAAATTTAAAAAATATAGTACAAAAGTTTAACAATCGTTTGAAACCAACCGTATGAAGTTTAGCAACCAATGTGAAACGAATACCACCTCAGCATACTTTTATTCAAAGAGTTTGACACAGCCGTTCCTATTACTGTCATAATAACTGATGGTGTAGTTAACGCAAACGCTGGTTTCTATATAATTCTTCGACTTCCTTGGCAAAAGCTCATACGCATATGAATAATTCAGCGGCTCTACTTCTGTCGTCCGACTTTTTCATGAGTTATACAAGATAATCCAGGGGAACGGAGACCCTTCCTCTCTCAAAAGTACAAAGCAAATGACACAAGCGACATGAATAATTACGCTCGCTCAGTAACTGATTTAATCAAGATTCTAGCAACAGTGTAGCGCGAGAAAACACATTATATTATATCACCATACTAAGATTATTCAGATAAAAAATTATTAACTGTATCACCTGCATAAAAATTCATTTGGAAAACAGTTTGCTGCTAATCATTCTAGCAACATCCTGGAAGGACAGTACGCAATGTAACTCCAAGATTCAATTTAATCCGCTGTTTTTGAAGATGATCATTCTTAATTAACAATAATTTTATCACATACCGACAATGAAAGTACAAATCTGCAAAGAAACTGTAGGTCAACAAATATCACAACTGCGAAAACAATTAAACCCAATTTTGAAATTAATTAACCTATGAAAATGCTAGAATTATTGCAATACACCTTAAACTTACCTCAGCTAAAGCAACAGGTGGATCAGCATTTTTTAATTCTGCGGCAGCCTTCTCGAATTTCGGAGCGATCTGCTTGCAATGACCGCACCTATAAAATTTTTACGTTAACAACTACATAACTTTGATGTCGAATTCTGTGAACAGCTAAGCAGCACAAATATAAACGGCTCTGACAGACTTCATTGCCAGTGGTGAAATCAAGCACAGTCTGCTAACAGATAGTAATAGTTTGAGACATTTTTTCTCAGGCTTGCGCAGCTACAAAACTACATCTCTCTGGGAAACCTGATCTGTGCAACAAAAACCAACTCAGCGAAATTAACTGAAGTGTAATAATGGTATAGAGCACCTCTGATGAAAGACTGAAAATTCTCGTCTGGATAACTACCCTTATTTGCCACGAAAAGCTGTCTAACCAAGTACACTCCCACTGCTAATGTATGGAGGTAAAACGTGTATTACAATGTGGGGCGTGGTAACACATTAGCAGAGGTTAATTTTTAACACAAGAGGGGTCGGCGTTTGAATAAGCTCATACGACAATCTTTGTCTTAACCGCGAATTCAATTGAGAAAGGCATTAATCCCATGCTGCTGTGGCAAAATCAGCCAAAAAACGGGTAGGGTAAGTCAGTGACTTACGGCTAAAAAGGGGAAAAGGGTACTCTCGTTTGGTTATGCCAGAATGGACGAGATGTACGACCATACTATTCGAAACTAGCGTCCCTCGAGTTTACACTCTGCCTCAACCCACCTAATAAATGACTAGTATAATAATCAGCACAAGGAGGTCCAGACTTTCATATCTAATTTTGAAAATTCTTCACGAACAAAGCAAAACTGAATTAAAAGGTCTTGGGAGTAACAACAAATTGACGTGAATGAACGGATAACAGCGCGAACAGGAGTCTGCGATGCGACTGCATGAACGAGTTGGAAATGATAATGAGTTGGACGTGATGTCAAGATCAATGGTAAGAATGACCATCAAAAAATTTGCTAAAGAAACGTGGATAAGAATCTCAGAAGACAGAACTCTAATACAAATTCTTGGACAGCTTCACGTAGCAATGGAACGAAAACTATTATTAGGACTGAACTGGATTGGATTATTGCATTTCTGATCATGCAAAGAAAAATGGCGTTCGTAACAGTTGGGGTGTCTGTCTTTTTGGTACTTCTATAATGAATGCTATAATGACATCATTCTTTCAAAGACTTTATGGCAGGGCGACGACCCTTCGCTAAGCCAAGACCGTTCTAATTCTGAAGCCAACCTACGTCAAATTGTATGCTTGTATTATCTCTTAAATCCATTTCGAAAACTCGAAAGAATAAGACGTGACGACGGCTTTCGAACTTCTGACTGCTGGACGAGGAAATTCGAGACTTCAAAACTGACGCATATACTGTTTCTGAAAATTGAAGTTGTCCGATTATCTACTAGTTTTAGCAGTGCGCAACTTTTTCCATGAAATTCTTCAACTCTGCTTAATCATGACCAAATAAGACACTGCCGCACGGCAACAAGAAGTCAAACTTTGTGCTTTTCAACGCTGACGAACTGTTTCTAACGAAGATGAAAATTAAGGACATTATTAAGCGCAGGTATACATCAAAATGCCGAGCATCTGGTTTCAGAATGGCAGAATTTCTCAGAAAAATGGTACTGATATGAAATTCCCCTTGAGACATTGCAAAATTGATAAATTTGCCTCAGTGTGCGCTGACAGAGAAATACTGTCGATAACAGTAACGATCAACTGAATTGTCCGCAACCGAAAATTTTTGTAATTCAATGATTCTACACGTTTCTTCGAAAATCTGAGTGACGCTCCCTGATGTACTAAACCCAAACGCTGAATGGCATCTAAACTTGATTTCTATTCCCTATCTCCTGCTGGAACAGCGTTGACACTGCAGAAAAACCGATCATTTGCATAAAAAAACGAACAAGACATTACCTACTTACCAAATATGTTTGATTGCAAACTGCTACCTTTCGTAGCCTATACAGGTGCTCACTAGCTTATACAGCGGATTTGAATAGTGCTTAAATCCGTCAGTCGCTGAAACGAACCGAAAGTAATGATTGAAACTTAAGTCAGTAGCAGCACAAGCTACAAGCAAAAATAATGTTTGGTGCATGTATACAATACACGCACAACAGGAACAATGGACTTGAATCTGACGGGCCTACTGGTCCTCTACAGACAAGCTAATCAAAACCTTTGCCTTTGCTGGTATGTACTGTATGAAAACAAGTACCAAATAGTTTAAAAAATTCCAAAGCGTCAAGTTAATTCAACTTTAAATGAAGAAGCTTAATTTAATGTAATTCGACTGAATACATATACATCATTTTAAAGAAACTTACGTCGAATATACACATTTCAAATGAGTTGCGTGAACGCGCTGTGTGCTGTTATTCTTATATTGAATGGACATCTGCTTAGCATCCATTCTTCCTAAGCATGATGACAGCTAGCCATATTACACATTCAACTGTACTTAAGCAAGAATTGTTTAAATGACCGCTTCAGTCTGCTACACTTTTGACTCTCGACAACCATGTAGTGCAAAATCACGTTTCATCAAGGTTTGTAAAATATAAAGTATCACGAACAGTACAACCTATCACTACTATGAAATTCATTAATGCCAAGCATGGTAAAGGTTAGAGACCTAACCATGACCAACGAAAGGAAAGAAACTGTCACAGATGAGAACTGAAAATTCAATGAATACTGGACCTGCATCTCAAACCATGACCAAGAAAGACAACGTCCATATGTAGTACTTTATGAGATGCGTCGCTTTACACATCACACGACACGAAATTCCAACAGATGACAGTCAGTTACTACTTTTGCTTTGCGAGAATGATAAGGGGCAACATTTACGCAGTCGCTTTGGCTAACCGCTTTTAAGTTCACATTGATCACATACGACATTTTTCATGATGTTATGCCAGCAACAACCTTTGCAGCTTCGAAGAAAGCTACCGTCATACAACATTCAAGTACAGAGAAAGCAATTACACATGCGGTTCAACACGACGCTTAGTGGCTTGTCTACGTGCTTCTCTATTTAAGTATTACAGGATTCTGGGAGATCTATGCGTTGCATCATTTGCGGTCGACTTCGACACGTCGGCAACCTCGTCAAGGCTATCCGTCTGCAAGACCACAAAGGTTACGCATCAAAAACGCACAGAACTGCGTAGATAAAAAGACGAATTTACATGCAACATACCGAAATGTCAGGCTGTCGAAGAGTGAACAACAGCATTGAGTTATCGACAGATATGAATCATTATTTTTAACAGAAGTTCTCGTTAATAATATACGACGGTGCACTCAAACGCTACAAATGGGTTAGTTCACCTTTTAACTTAAAATCAGATTCTGCGCTGTGAAACGCTCAATTAGCGAACACGCCGTTCTACGCAGCAAACGATTTCTTTGACGGAAGTAAGCAAATACTTTCGAAACAGTTTACGACTCTTGCCTAACAATTCAAAGGTTCTTATGAGCGGCCAAACCTGGTGCCGGCATCCAAAAACTTCAACCACTTACCATGGCGCGTAGTACTTCACCAACAGCAGGTCATGTTCCTTTGCCTTCTCATCGAAATTCTTGTCGGTGAACACCAACACGTCGCCAGCCTCGGCTGTAATTACACACAGGAGCAGAAACGTCAGGAACATTGTCGACGCCGCAAACGTACAACTAAGGAATAACAAAATTTAATGAAACTACTATTCGACACTACGCACGCTTCGACAAGTTACAGTTGTCCGTTTCTCATTGGCAGAATTTCCCACGTCATCTTAAGTAATACCTGCGTAAATGAATTCTCAAAGCGAAAACTGTGAACTACCAATAACAAGCACTACCGTATATTATTCGGTTTAATGCACCGTAATGAAATATTAAGCAATTAACATCTACGAACAGCTTTGACGACAAGAAATGCTTACTGTAAATTACATTAAACGAACAGTTCGCTAATGTCTAAATTTCGGCTTGATTGTTTAAATAGTTACAGTATTTATAGTAGGCTCCGATGGTAGAAGTTTATGGATCCGTACTCGAACGCATGTTTCTAGCGATCATTTTGAATCTGAATATTAATTTGCAATCTGACAACCATTTTAAAATGCAGAAAAATGTCTGTTATGCATAATCAAAAACAATTGTGTAACACCAGGTCAATTATCATTGTCGCTTTTAGTATCCCACTGATTTTCCTCAGTGTAAACGCTAAGAATAATCAGTTGCTAAAAATTATTTCACTTTGCCTCACATCCTGTGACTACTGCTTCTTCGTTTCACCGAGGCGGATGGATGCGTCCGACAATGCTTCTAACATTCCCGGTCCTGTTCCAGCACCTGAGCTTCAACAAAAACACTACCGCAGCCTGTACTATAATCCACTTGTTCCCACCAT